TTATAAGTATCAATTGATAATATTTTTTGCCCATGATAAATTAAGCATTTGTCTTTGGTATCAACACTATTTGTAACTAAAAAGTTTCACTCTTCATTGAAAAATAAATACCCCCAAAATGCAGTTAATATCTTGTCAAAGTCTTCACTTCACTATCCATTTAGAACCTTGTCACTATGAAAAAGTTCTAAATGCTCTTATAACGGTAGTTAAAAACATTTTAGCTACTTTAAAATTTTGTGATAGAAGTACTCTCGGGTACCTAATACACGGAGCTAGGAATTTTAGCCTCATTCTAATAAAAGGAGGGGGAAGGGAATTTATGTTTATATTACTATTTTATTAATCACCCTCTGTAAAATATATTTACAAGGTAAAAATACAAACTAAGAACAAAAGAGAAATAAAAAAAAAGTATAATTTAGGAATGTTTTCTTTAAGTGTTTTTAAAAGTTGTTTGCTGTTGTTTTACATTTCAACATTCAACCGCCTGTACCAAAATATGAATAGCAGCTTCAAGAATTACATTCTCTGAATTTCTAAGTTTTACTTTTTTTCAACCAGCATCAAGGTTTTCATATTCAGTTAATGAATATTACATAATTCTATTATATCATCTAAAAAAGAAGATTTAACTGAACAGTAGTTAAGTTGGGAATAAATGATTTCAAAGGTTACTTTATTGTTTAAAAGGCGTATAAATAGATTTATTTTGTTTTGGTGTATATAATTTGACTCCTTAATTTTAAATAGAGAGTGTATATAGTTTTTACTATACTTGGAGACATTAAAAAGTGATTTTACTGCGTTCCTTCCAAATGTGTCGAGTCTTTTCATTGCTGACTCTTTATTTTCACATAGCTCTAGACCGTGGGTTAGCGTCAGAACTGCTTATTTATAAATTTAGATAATAGAAAAATGATTGCCGGTATTGTCCACCATTGATTCAGTCCATAATGCTTAGTACTGTTATTTGGTTGTTGTATAATATGCTACCAAGTTAATCACACTTTGCTTTCTCTTATAAAAAATAGTTTCATTTCCAACATTACTATCTCAATTTATAGTACTTTTAAAAGTCTTTTTAAATCATTTTAAAATCATGTTTTTTATTCATAACACAGCTTGCTTTTTAACATTACTAACAAACATTGTATTAAGTTGTTCAATTTTTTAAATATTACTAATGTATACAATGTGGTAAATCAAAGTTATATTATTTTGCTCATCAACTATATTTAAAATTATACATTCATTAACTGACCGTTTGAGATAAGCGGTAGGTAATAAACATGACTGACCGTTGGGGCTAGACACAGTTAAACGTCTTCATATTGACTGACAGTTAAGGATATGCGCGGCAAAATGATCTTACTTCGACTAACGGCAAGTTTATGAAAAGACTGAATTGTCATTATTAAACTTTGATGGAATTTTATCTTATAAAAACTATTTATTTTTGTTTTTAATAGTTATTTCAAAACTGGTAGAAACCAGTAGGGGAGAGTTGCCAATATTGAAACAGCACCTTAATTGTAACACTTGCATTTACTTTTGAAAAAAAAAAAAGAATTACGGATACATTTTGCATTTTTTTAGTAAAACGCATTATTTTATACGTTTTGACACATTTTGAAAGTTATTCCTCAAAAAATACGTTTGCACCATTGATTTAAAGTTTTTTTGCGTCATTTTTTTTCAGTGATCTAATTTTGTGTTCACACTATATTGATTGCACTGGGTAAACTATGGTGCTATAGGTTATACTGTTTTGGGTGTTTAATTCGATGGGATTTAAAATGCAAACTAACAGTATAAACTTAAGTTGCTGCAAGCATGTTATTGTAATGTTATAACGAAATAGTCGAAAGTTTCCTTGATTGGAATATTAAAGTTTTCCTTACCTAATCAGTAATAAAACCAAAGGGTTGTTAAAATAGTTCGAGTGCAATTAAAAATATACTTAGTAACAACCAAAAACCTTAAAAATAATACTTTACTTAGTGATTTTTAATCAATAAATTAAGAGAACGTCATAACAGTTGAAGGTTTATACAATTTTTTTTTAAAGACTTCAAATTTGTCAGGGTAATACTAATCCTATAATAAGTTTTGAATTAATTGTTTTAATTTTCACTGTAAAGATGAAAATAATTTTTTACAAATTTTTGTTGATTTTATTGGGTTTTTTAAAAAAAAAAATAATAACCTGTTCTGATTAAAGAATCAAAGTGTTCCAATTTAGGAAACTAGTTGCCTTGATTGGAACAAAATTGAAACTTTGCAAAAACAAATTTATTTCCAATAAGAATGCAATCAATTAAGTAAAATTGTGGTTAAAAGTATAGTAAGGATTTCTGCTTGTATTAATCAAATCATAAATGTTTTTATAGTTAAGTCATCTTTGGTTAATAAATATTTATTCCTAAATTGTTCCAATTATGGCAACTCTCCCTTACTCTTTTTTTGTGGAATTTATCGTTATAAAAAAGATTTGTAAAAAATAGCGAATATTAGCGCTTTTGTGATTAATTTTTTTTTAATATCAATATCAAACTAAAACACAATACGTTGATATTGAGACCAATGTTTTTATATGATTTTTGATGAGCATGAAATTATCTATCATAATATATTTAACTGAAAAAAATTTGGAATAGTCTGCAGTTAGGTTTTACCGTGACCTGTTAGTTGGAACCTTGGAACATTCCACAGAAATCCTATTGTGAATGTCAAATTAAATAAAGAGCAATAATATAAAAATAAGGAGGATAAAAAATTTAGTCTAAAATAAAATAAAAAATCTTCATCATTATTTTGACCTCAGCTATCGCTTTACAAAAATGGCTGCTTGTTGGTAGATCATGATTATGTCAAAGTAAACTAAACTTACAATGCTGACCTTGTTTCTCTTGATCTTAAAAAGTTAACCACTATAAAGTATTATATTAAATGTGTAATAGAATAAAAAATTTATGGTATTCCTAAAAATAATTTAGATAATGATTCAACAAGTACTTTAAAAAACAAAAAATTCATCTCCACAAAATCTACTAAAAAAAAAATGCTGTTCCCAAAACAAATGTAAATAATAACAATATATCTGCAAACGATGAAAACAATAGTGTTCAACAACATTTAGAGGAAAAATTACAGAAATAAATATTAACGTTTAAATATGGTAAAAAGAAATTTGAAAGTTTTAAAAATTTCCATCGTGGTTACCACTTTGAAAAAAAAGTACTATTATTTTTTCGAAACCAGTCTTAATATCATGTGTTATGCCATGTGGTTTCTTTACTTTTACAGAAGATGACTCATATGGTTTAAGTCCTGATGCCTGGGTAGCTCCAAACTTGTTACTTTAAATAAAAGTCAGAGGAGAAAATTCAAGAGAACTATTGTCAAACTTATCTAAATCACATGCCTATTTTATTCAAACACAACTTCAAATGGTATGTACACAATCAAACTACTGCTTTCTCATGCCCTATCAACCTGAATCAAAATCTGCAAAGTACTTAGTATCCAGAAAAACAACATTTTTTGGGATTTAATAAAATGTTTAATAGACAGTATGAGTGATGGATCTAGGGGGGATGGGGGATGCATCAACCCTCTCCCCCTGGATCCATCACTCATACTGTCTATTAGAGTGGAGTAATGGCGAACGCGGGGTAACTCTGAACATGGTCAAAACAGCATTATAGAAAAAATAAATTTGACAATTTCTTTTTACCTGCTGAGAGGGGATCTCATGCTCGTTCCAGACATGCAGTAGTGTAATGAAGCTGCGGATGTTGTTCACTATATTTTTAACTTTTTCTAATAATTTTATACAACTTTTTTCTTGAGTAACATTCTGTTGTAACTTTTATGGATATAAAACCTTATTTTTTTGTTGTTGTTGTTGCATGGTATAAATTTTGCACTTAGTTATTACAATTAGCATTTTATTTGTTATTACACAACAGTGTTTTGATTGTCCTACAAGGTGTTCTGAATTACCCCACGTACGTAGGGTAATTCCGAACACCAATGGTTTTATTTTTGCCATAAAATTTTATTTTATAATAAGATTTATAAAAATTGCTTTAGAGGTTTGTGACGGAATAGTTAAACTAATTGATAAGCAATAAATATGATCAATTTTGTATAACTGATGTCTTTAATTCGCATTCCCGCTTAGGTGTTTGCCAATACCTCACTCTCCCCTGCAATGTAAATAAAAAATTTTCAAAATTTAATACCTATTCCAAAGCTCCCTCAAAGCCCTTAAACGTTTAACAGGTTCCTAATATTTATAAAAAACAGTTTTTACTGCTAAGAAAATGACATTTTTTAAATAAAAATGAAAAAAGAGAGTTCTACAAGGTTGTTTTTATTTTCTTTTAAGTTTTTTCTTTCTAGTTTTTTTTTTTTTTTTTTATAAAATTAATATTTTTGATTAATTCAGATACAACAAGACATACTTTTGAAAAAATTTTTAAATATTATTGGGGACCTGTTAAATGTTCAAGGGCATTGAAAAGCTTCTAGACTAGTTATTAAAATTT